GGAACGTGGGCTTCTACAAGATTTTATTGGGCCATGAAATTGGACCTATTACTAAGCACTCTAAGCTTTGAACAAATTAAATAGAAGGGAAAAAATCAATCATCCCCCTAGTTTTTGCAAAAGTGAACGGCGGATGAAAACTATTACATTTTACCCCCATATTTTATGGTTTTAATTTACTAAGTTTTAAATTGACGTTCATGGCGTATATCTAGGAGCACTGGTAGATCCGAAAATTGGTTCCCTATGATTTAACTGGCCCATTGCAACCATCACGGCCCAGTAATGCATCCTCAGTAGTATCTTAGTATGTATTAAATTACCAGCTAATTAGCCTAATTGACTGTAAAATGTAAATTTAGTTAAAATTATAATCTGCTTCAACAAAAGCTCAGCCTTTAGATGCAAATTACCATGAGCTAAATTGAAAATTACAACGACTAAGCTGTAAAACTAGTAGACATATTTTGATTTACAATACTAGTGAGATTGTCAAAGATGGGGAAGCAGTGATGATATACAGTCTGGCCCCTCTTTTTGGACAAAATCTTCTGGCCAGAAATAGCGGAGGTTTTATCTTCTTATTTTTCTTTTATTTCTTAACGATTCAATAATGTGAAAAAAAAAAAAGAATCCATAGTAATATAATAAATCAATAGACATTTTTAAATTATGGTAAAATATAGACATTTTTTCTGATGTAGGTCTAATATCCAACCAAGGCATGACAAGTGGCTACACCACTTGAATAATACGATTAGGCTTATCTTGAAGTTGAGTGTGTCAACTACACACACATATTATCACTATTATTGGGATATTTTCAAAGTCGATCCCATGTATGTTTCCGTCTCCGCTAGCTCCTGTAGGGCTTCTCTCCCAGTCCCAGACCCGGCTCAATAAAAACACAGAGATTATAAAGGCAGGAGGATGTTTTATATTTCACGTTATAGTTGTGGGGCCAAGTGTCAAGGTGAGAGGGGGTAGAGAATTATGGGTGAACTAATGAACAGTAGTATGCTACTGTGGTCTAGAAATGAACATGCTACACGCAGAGTCATGTGTGAAGGAAATCGGCAGCTCCTCACAATGGAGACATACCATGTCAAGTTGAGAAATAAAGAAACACTTTTAAGTTTATCATATCATGGAAACTAAAACAAATAACCCTACTCTTGGAACTATATATATATATATATATATTCAAAACGCTATGCATTTTGTGTGCCAGTTGTTGCATATAAGGCAGACACAAAAGGCCAGCTAGCTAACCCCTTATGCCCTAAAACATTGCCTACAAGGGTGTTTTTTTTTTCTTTTTTCATGACATTAGAGGGGTTTGGTATAGGTTTTCTTCCATATAGTACTGAGGGGCAGCAGGCAAAGGCATGATGGAGTGGTTTGGATGATGATGTTGTTGCTGGGGGAGGACTTAGAAGGGATGGCAAGATCGAAGCTTTGAAAAGTGGAGATTTAGATAAGGAGACAAGAGAGAGAGATGAATAGAAGGAATGGGGGGTGGTTGCCATGTGAGAAGCATGATGCTCTAGAATGATGTTGTCTTCCTTTCTATATATATCTTCTGTTTGGTCTTATATTTTACTAGAAAGGAATGGCAGCCATGACCCCTCGGCTTTTCGTTGAGGCATCTGTGGGGACTTAATGGCTGGATCCAATCTTGGCTCTCGCTTAGTTTGAGTTTGCTGATTATAATACTGACAACATACTCCAAAATATCTATGGGTATAAGAATTGTTAATAACATGGGATAGGGATAAGCTATACGTATATATATATAGTCGAATATATTTGGAACTTGTAAATAATGATTGGCTCGAGGAAGTTTGAGTTGAAAACAGTTATACTTCTTAAAATTCTTATCAACTCTTTTGCATCTTTCAATTCCCTTCGTAGCTTTTATATGACTGTTAAATTTTGTACCCTAGCTAGGAGCTATATTGTTAATATTTTGCTATTAACTATGATAATTATGAGAGAACAGAAAATTTTGAAGTACACTTTGGTGCCTGTCTTGAGAGTAAGGTCATGAAAAGAAGAGATACTTAAATTTTCCTCCCATTTTGGAACAAATGGTACTCAAACTGTCCTCTATGAATCATGAAGAGAAGAGGGCTATATTATAGAGCTTTTGCTCTAAGATGGAAACCATAACTTACGGTATGTTTATATACATGAATCACGATGACCCTCTTATTTCACTCTTTTTTTTTTTAATGCTTGCACTTTAAAGAGATTTTAAAAACTTAGCAACTTATTGTAGCTTTGTGTTTTGTGCTTTTGGAACTCAAATAAACGAAACTTACCCAGTTTCTAAACTATTTGACATCGAAGATTCCTAGAAAAGATAATATAGTTAGTTTCACGTGAAATTAATAAAGAGTGATCTCTATGAATTATGAAGAGAAGAGGGTTTAGATTATTCAGCTTGATTTGCACACTTATGAAAAATTTCAAAAATTATTAGCAGATTATTGCGGGGCTTCAACATAAATTACAGTGTGCAAATTCTGTGATGGAATTAATCAACTAAAACTTACCCAATTCTATCATATACCATTTGAAACAGAAGATTCAAATTAAAGAAAGAAATATAGAGAACTTGAAGGCAACACAGTCCACAACTTTTTTCTCGCTCAAGCTTTTACCGATCAAAATCCCTGATCAGTTGCATATAATAAAAAAGTTGAAGGGTGATAGAACTAATGGCCTCGTAGAGATATTTTCTTTTTTACATATTATTAGTCAGTGAAGCCATGCCACACGACAGCGTGCATTTTAAGGAACAATAATAATTAGGATAAATTGATGAGATCAGATAACCATTGACGAGGAAGGAACAATAACTGTTTGAGTAGTAGTTGAAACCACGTTCTCAGAAAATCTTTTCAAAAGAAGCCGATATTTCAGAGTGGATGTTTTCACCTTTTACTGCAATAATAATCCAAATACGTAGCAGTTGGATGAAAACTTGATGGATTTGATAGGATATGGAGCCCCCAATAACAGTAGTGGGACAAGAGGGCAATTTTTTAAAAAAGAGAAAACTTACATGGAGAGAAGGGGAGATGAATTTTGTGTTCCACATGATAAAACAACAACAACAACAAAAAAAAAAAAAAAAAAAGTGATACCCCCCTCGTGCGCTCTCTGCATAAAGAGAAATGTGCCTCTTATTAACAGACAAAACCCTCTTTTGTTTTCCTTTCAGAGGAGAAAGAGCTGCCAAATAGCCATGGTGATTGACAGTAGTGTGTAACTGTGTGTTCTCTTTTGTATAGGGCCGTTTTTTCCCATTATATCACTTGTTTTTTTGTTGTTGCCTTGTTTCTTTTACCCATATCATGAGGACGCCATTTAATCAGCCACCTGAATTTTGTGTGCTTTTTCATTTCCCAACTTTACGACTTGCATTCCAAATTAAAGATCAACTGTCATTAATTTGCCAAGAAAATTAATTAGGTATTTGTTCTTGTTCATTGAATATATATTTGAGATGATGAAATATAATTAGAATTGGCAAGAGAGCCACTGATTAAAGTCTAAAGACGATACCCATCAATGGACAAAGACCATGCATTGATGGTAGATCGTTTAGGTTGGGACCAAACTAAAAAAGTTTTAAAGAGATAAGATAGAAATTAACAACGACCTCCACTCAGAGAGGAAAGTTTAGCCACATTATATATTCCCCACTAACTTTTGCTTCAAACCAATTGAATATTGTTTAGAGAACAAATTGCTACGTGTCAGGTGATGATTTGCGGTTACTTCAATTCTTCAAAAAGATCAAACATGTCTGAATATCTGAGACACTGTCTCAACAGTTATTGCTTTGATTGTTGAATGGTGATGTTATATTAGTCTGTGTCTACGTAACGGAAGAGTTGCCGTTATGTTAACGCTCTTGTTTCATGCGGTGCCGCATCACCTCCAAAAGAAGGTTGCCGTTGCCAATTTTTTTTTTTTTTATTAAAAAAAAGAAAAAGAAAAAGCAAAAGAATATATATAATCCATAAGAACAAAAAATATTCTTCTTTATCCTCTTTATGCAACACCCCATCTCTTCTAACCAAAAAATAAACAATTCACAGCCAAGAAAAAAAAATANAAAAAAAAAAAAAGTGATACCCCCCTCGTGCGCTCTCTGCATAAAGAGAAATGTGCCTCTTATTAACAGACAAAACCCTCTTTTGTTTTCCTTTCAGAGGAGAAAGAGCTGCCAAATAGCCATGGTGATTGACAGTAGTGTGTAACTGTGTGTTCTCTTTTGTATAGGGCCGTTTTTTCCCATTATATCACTTGTTTTTTTGTTGTTGCCTTGTTTCTTTTACCCATATCATGAGGACGCCATTTAATCAGCCACCTGAATTTTGTGTGCTTTTTCATTTCCCAACTTTACGACTTGCATTCCAAATTAAAGATCAACTGTCATTAATTTGCCAAGAAAATTAATTAGGTATTTGTTCTTGTTCATTGAATATATATTTGAGATGATGAAATATAATTAGAATTGGCAAGAGAGCCACTGATTAAAGTCTAAAGACGATACCCATCAATGGACAAAGACCATGCATTGATGGTAGATCGTTTAGGTTGGGACCAAACTAAAAAAGTTTTAAAGAGATAAGATAGAAATTAACAACGACCTCCACTCAGAGAGGAAAGTTTAGCCACATTATATATTCCCCACTAACTTTTGCTTCAAACCAATTGAATATTGTTTAGAGAACAAATTGCTACGTGTCAGGTGATGATTTGCGGTTACTTCAATTCTTCAAAAAGATCAAACATGTCTGAATATCTGAGACACTGTCTCAACAGTTATTGCTTTGATTGTTGAATGGTGATGTTATATTAGTCTGTGTCTACGTAACGGAAGAGTTGCCGTTATGTTAACGCTTTTGTTTCATGCGGTGCCGCATCACCTCCAAAAGAAGGTTGCCGTTGCCAATTTTATTTTTTATGCAAAAGAATATATATAATCCATAAGAACAAAAAATATTCTTCTTTATCCTCTTTATGCAACACCCCATCTCTTCTAACCAAAAAATAAACAATTCACAGCCAAGAAAAAAAAAATATATATATATATATTAAGGCGAAGACACCGTAATAGAAATCAATGGCTGCTGTTCATCGCCAATATGATCACAGTCACAGACTAACCCATTATCCACACACCCTGCGCATGTCAGCATCTGAGATCTATCGGCTTGAAAATCCCAGTCGGTTGTCCCCACCACGTACAACATGAGGCCAGCACAACAAACCTGGGCCGATAATAGCCCAAGCCAGAGCCCACAAAACCCAACCCCAAGATAAAATCCAAGTCCAACGGCCACTGGCATACCCACAAGGTAGAATGCACCCAGGTTCACATTAGCTGCCGTGGACGGGCGTGCACTGCCTCTCAGGACCCCACACCCTACTGTTTGTGGACAGTTACCGAGTTCACACAACCCTAGGATTGGCAGGGCAGCTGATGTCAACCGCAGGATCTCCACGTCGTTGGTGAACATCCGACCCCACCTATCTCTCATCCCGGATGCAAAAACGGTAGCTGATAGGCCCATCATTGCAGCTAAAAACACCGCCACTACAGCAGATAATTTCGCTGTTTTAGGACGATTAGCACCAAGTTCGTTACCCACACGTGTGGAAACCGCAAAGCTGAGGGAGGACGGGAACACATAAAGTAACGACGTCGTTTGGATCAGAATGCCCATAGAGGCCACCGTTGCTTTGGGGTCAACTAAAATTCCACACAAAACGATCATGATCTCGTACCACCACCACTCTAAACAAACCGATACGCAGCTTGGAGCAGCCAGCTTAAGCAGCGGCTTCCAGCCGGTTAAGCAGTCGAGAGTGGGTTTAGTCCACGTCGGCTCGTGCAAACGAGAAATCCAAATGTAAAAAACTAAGGATAAAAACACAAAGAAGTTGGAGATGGCAGCTGCGGCTGCGACTCCAGCAACGCCGAGACGTAGATGACTGACGAGAAAAAGGTTAATAGGTAAGTGAAGAATAGTGCCGGCTAAGGATGCTAAAGTTAGTGGATGGGTGATGCCTTGAGCGCGAAGGTAAATGCGGATTGGGTGAATGAAGGAATTGGTTAAAAGGTCAGGGAGAGAGAAGATGAGATAAGAGTGAGCTATACGTGTGATATTAGGATCTTGATGAAGATATAAGAGGATCTTGGACATGTTGAGCCAGAGAAGAGAGATAGGTATTGAAGAGACAAGAAGGAAAATTACTGAGCGGTGAAGGGTTAAAGATAGAAGCTTTGGACGTTGAGCACCGAAGGCTTGTGAACACAGAGGCTCCATGCCTAGAGCCAGCCCTGAAAGGACTGAATATCCAGTGATATTAGCGAAGGCAATAGCCAGAGAGCCAGCAGCAAGCTCAAGGTCACCAAGATGACCAAGAAAGAGCATGGAGAGGATAGAGCGAGAGTAGAGGATAAGGGCCGTTAGGGCAATAGGAAAAGCTAGGTTGAAGAGTGATTTCGTCTCTGTGATGATCTCAGAGATGGAGGGTGACGATTCTTCTTGTGTTTTAGGCTTTTCTGGGTCTTTTATGCCATTGGGTAACGACGACAAAAGATGAAAATAAAGGTTGCTTTGCTGCGTTTGTGTTGGTTTATCGGAAACTGCTAAGGTGGGAAGAGTAGTGGTAGTATTTGGATTACACATGATCGATGATGATGATTGATGATAATCAACCTCACTCTCTCTTTACAATATGGAGATATGTGAAGAACTATTTCTCCCTGCCTCTCTCTCCCTCTTACTGTATGTATGGATGCTAAGTTTTCTCTTCAAGGATAGATAGATGGATGGATTGCTTCTCACCGTAGATGAGGAGGAGGGTATAAATAGAGAAGTTGAGGTGGGGTTTCTCTTGAATCCAATTATTTTATTTATTAATTTACAGTTATTTTTACATTAACATGGGTTGATATTAAATAGTGTTTGTGTTTTTTTTCGTGTGTATAATGATTTTGTTACTTTATGTGGTTTAAAGAAAGAGACGTCAGGGTTGTCAGATTCTGAGCGAGGGTTTCAATTTCCGATGAGTTAAAATTGTATATATTTTATTTTTATTTGCTTTGGTGAATTCTTGTACTCCGGCAGCCGAGCTCTGCTCTGCTCCACACTTCTGCAACACTTAGTATACGTAAATAATTTCTCAATACTATCACCAGTGTATCTGAGAAATGAACGGAGATAGATGTTTCGATTGGAGCAGTCTCTGTTAAACTATTAATCACGCCATTAAAAGACTCTGCTGGCCCTAATTCAATTTTAGGTCTAATGGTAATGGCCAGTGTTAAAAAACAAAAAAAGGGCAGTTTTGGATACTCATAGTCATACTCATACACATAGTCCCCACTGGTCAAAATAATTTTGACGTGAAATATGGAATAGAAGGTTTGAAGAAGAGTGGTGACTTTTAATCAAAATATAAGTAAGACTGTCCCTTTTGAGGACCTAACAAAATTTTCATCTTTATTTATTACCTAAGTCTTTACGTTTAAATTAAATCTTCAAACCACATATCTATTAATGCAATAAAAAAAAAAAAAAAGGTTTCATTAATATAGAAACTACATATATATTTAACTGCGCCTTTTAGGATTAATGACTTGAAACAGAAGAGATTCAAGAGAAAGTAATTACACTAACAAAAATCAAAATATTATATTGCAAGTGAAAAAAACCCAATTAAATAGAAAGTTGACATTTACTTCTTTTTTTTTTTCTTTTTTTTGTTTAAAATAATGCAATATTTATGGTTGTGTTATGATAAAGGCAAAAAGGAGGCAAGGTAATAACCAAAAACAGAAGTCATATGACAGCCTTCAATTAGCTAGTAAACCATAAACTATTTATGGAGCAGGAATTCCTAAATGTATGATGGATTTTAAAGCAATGAAGTACAGAGAGGTCCTAACTTTCTCTATTTGATTTGACTTTGTCATTAGATTTTTGGCCCATTGTTTTGTGATTTATTTTCATAAATTACTTGACGTGTGTGGACTATTTTTTATTTTGCGTGTCAAATAATTAAATTAGGCTCAAGACGCATTACTACCATATAATAAAATAAAATAAAATAAAAAAGAAGAAGGGAAAACTCTTTGAATATTTACTAATTGAAGTAAAAATACAGACGTTTAAAACTAATTCTTTACAAAAGGTTACTTTTGATATAATTATATATACATACTTTTGTATTTTTAGATTAAATAAAATATAATTTGAAAGTAGAAGTATGTTCAGCAATCAAATATCTCCAAATTAGTGCAAACAAGAGGAGGGATTCCGCGTAGAATTAAACCTAAAATTAAGAAATTAACAAAAGCAGAGTGGAGAAGGGTGACACGTAGAGTTGGAGCTTAATTTTAATTTTGAGATAGTTTAGTAAAGTGCAACAAGAATGGCAGGGTAAATGAATAAGAAGACGAAGGAAGGAGAGGTTTGGGCAAATGTCGTCTGCAGCTTAGACCCCACCATCAAAAATATATATAACTTCAAATTTAATTTACTGCCCATTTGGAATTTGGTATCCAAAAGTCTTTATTAGGCACGTCACATTGTTCGGTCATCCCTTGAAAAATCATATGGTTGGTTTAGACTGTGATAAAAAAATCACAAGTACAGTTGTCAATAGAAAAAAAAGAAAAAAAAAAAAAAAAGAGTACGTGATCGTAATCAGAGGAGGAATAAAAGTAAAAAGTGTGGGGTGAAGATAGCTGGAAATTTCACCAACAGATGGAAGCAAGGAGACATGGGGTGTTTAAACACAAAATTTACTCCTCAATCTACGCATCCTATTCATGTAGTGTGGCAGCAAGTTGAGTGGGTTTGAATTGACTGGTATTGTCGTTTCTTATAGATATAATTTGTTTGAGAGCTTGCTTTGGTTTGGTTCGGACAACAGACATAGAGAAGAGAGTGAGACAGAGGCAGCCACCTTGCTGTGAATGTGACCCACACATGCACTTTTCCCAATTCCCTCCTTCTTCTGTTTCTATTACGGGAGCGTCTTCCATTCCGTTTCACTACACTTGTGATATAATTTTGTCGTTTTTTTTTTTCCTTTATCCCTGATTGTATAATTAAATTAAATCAAACCATCTATTAATTTGCATATCATTCATGTGTTTGCGTGAAGCAAGTTCTTTCTTAATCTGGATGGATGGCTGTGGTTAGTTCTTATTCATTTAAACACGTGTAAATCAAGACATCTCCATCAAAAGGTCAATTTAAAGAGAATGAAATGAACAAAACTGTTGTCAGAAGCAAATTTTACCTAACTCATTCGTTTCAAAGAAATTAATGGTAATATTTGACTTGACCGGGGCTGTTACCTGTACGTTACAGGACAGGGAACAGTGGAGTAAAATGTGGGAATAATGTTAATTGATTGGATCGTCAGTGGGGTCCGTAGGTGATAAAAACATAGTCGGGGGGGATGGATGATGGGCAACTAGGTATAGACTTAGTCACTTAGCACAAAGCTAGCTAGCTAGCTATTGAGGCACATGATCAGTTTCCAATATCCCGCTTGCATGCGTTGGTCACTCTCAGTCTCAGTCCCTTCACCCTCCCTTATGTTTATATATCTTTCATTCTTATTGGCTATGTCCATCCTGCGCTGTCTCACTTTTCTCTATTCATATTTTAATTGAATATTTTTATGCATGGTTCTCATTTATCACTGCTACTTGATATAACGACTTTGTTAACACGATTAATATTTTATTATCTAAATATATATTTTTATTTTGTTAGGACCCTATACTATCACTATTCTCCTCTTCGATCATTATTCATCAAAACTCTTAAAACCCTACTTTTATCGACTTCGTCAATCGCCGACAATTGATCGATTAGGGTTTGTATAATCGTCCCTTCCAAGTTAAATTCTGATCAATTCTAACCACCAAAATCTAACCTTCCATCACCAAAAGACTCATCAGTCTCTCTACTTCAAAAATTCCAATAGCCTAGACCTAGTTTGCTTTTTGTTCGTCGCCAGAATATAAATTTGAGTAATAAGATGGTATTTTAAAAGTCTGTGAATGGAAAAGTGTCATTAAACCATTATTTAGGTGGGAAAAAATCATAAACTCTTAATACCACCCCATGTTCTTAACTTAATACTATGTTTCATGTACTTCCATTAATTAATACTGTATGTCATTTTTTAATCCTAACTATATAGTTAGTGACGAACATCTTACCTCATTGCACACCACATTGAATCCTCTACTTTTTTTTTTAAAGGAAAGTGTTAGAGCTAGCATTACTTAACAGAGTAATTTTGTGATTAATAAATTATCTTAAAGCAATTAATAATTGCCACTTACAGTCTGACATTCTAATCAGCTCAAAACATCTGAATCGAAGCACAATTGAACCACTTAAAAACCATAGCAAGTTGCCGCAGTTCAGTGCATTGTTGACCGATTTAATTAAAGTCTTGTTTTCTTCTATATATTATTGAAAACATGAATGGTTTGAATTGTGAAAAATAATTGAAGCAGCTAGTACATAAACAAAATATTAAAATTTATTCTCCCAATTGTTGTGTTGTGTTGTGCCTGGGGTCCATTATGCATTATTTGTAACATGATTTTAGTAGATAACTTAAAAAATTTCTTGGAAATACTTCAACTTGACTTTCTATTCGAATGGGTTCGATCGAGTGACAACCATTAAAATTCATGCATGGGCTAGAAATATTTGTTTTTCTTATATAAAAACATCGATATAACCATGGGGACACGTGGCAAATCCCCAAATGTATGTAGAAAGGAGGTCCCCCTTCCTTTTGCCAAAAAAAAAAAAAAAGCCTTCCCTTGTAAAGCGAAAAAGGTATAAGCATAAAGCACAAAACTCACCAATACAAACTTCATCTTGTTTTATTAATTTCATCTTTTTTTTCTGTATCATGTCCAGATCTTGTTGCCTTTTATAAGATCCTCAGTAGAATATAAAAGGCACTTCCCCCAACTGTGGGCGGCTTAATTGAGTCTGATTGTGCGAGCTTCGTCAGTTTGTCGATTAATTAGTGTAGTTCCTTTGTTTTTCAAATATATATGTTAGTTTCAGCTTTATGTTCATCTAAGTAAGTGACTTTCTGTGTTCTGAAAGCTTTTTATGTATATATTACTGATTAATTAACTAATCAAAACTTGAAAACTTGGCCAAACTGGGAAAAAAAAAATTCAAAATTTTAAGTTTGAATCAATCTTTGCTTGCTGTATCTAGGGAATTGAGATTAATTATCAGAAACAAGTAGGAGACACTATCAAAGAATAGCATAAAAAAGTAAAGAAAAAATAGTGGCACGTAATATAATACATGAGAAGGATGCTGCAGGGAGAGTCGATCTTTAGTGACTCTTTTACTCTTTACAAAGCCAGCTACTTGCCTCACACGCACAGCTCATCTCCACCTTCAAATTCATGGCTACGAATTAAGCAATGAAAAAAACCTTGTAATATTATATGATATATGTTTAAATATTTATTACACAAATGATATATGTAATAATATATACAATCCCAATTAAATTATATTATCACAGCACTTGAAATATAAAATTTGAAATGGAAACATAGACGCATATTCTCCATAAAGCAAGAGATACCTTGTAACTTTATGAAGTTGAGTTATGATATTGATTTATTATATTACAGAATTAAAATAAGCAATATCTTTTTATTTGAATAATGAGGTTTGTGTATGGGACTCTTCCATATATATGGTAATGGTGACAATATCAGAGGGTTTGCGATAGAAGAACGGAGCTG